AAAGAAAAGGAAAACAAGGCCAGGCGCAGTGGCTCATGCCGGTAATCCCAGCCCTTTGGGAGGCCGAGGCGGGCGGATTGCCTGAACTCAGGAGTTCGAAACCAGCCTGGGCAATATGGTGAAACCCCATCTCTACTAAAAATACAAACATTTAGCCGGGCGTGGTGGCAGGTGCCTGTAATCCCAGTTACTTGGGAGGCTGAGAGGCAGGAGAACTCCAATTGAACGTGGGAGGTGGAGTTACAGTAGCTGAGATCACACCACTGCATTCCAGCCTGGGCAACAGAGTGAGACTCCATCAAGGAAGGAAGGAAGGAAGGAAGGAAGGAAGGAAGGAAGGAAGGAAGGAAGGAAGGAAGGAAGGAAGGAAGGAAGAAGAAGGAAGGAAGGGAGGAGGAGGGAGGAAGGGAGGAGGGGAGAGGGAGGGAAAAAGGAATAAAGGAAGAAGGAAGAAGGAAAGAGAGAAGAAGAAAAAGAGAAAGAAGAGAAAGAAAGAAAGAAAGAGAAAGAAAAAGAAATGAGGAGGGAGGAAGGAAAGAAAAGAAGAAGAAAGGGAGAGAGGGGGAGGGACAGAGGGAGGAAGGAAGGAAGGAAGGAAGAAAAGGAAGGAAGGAAGGAAGGAAGGAAGAAAGAAAGGAAGGAAGGAGAGGAAAGAAAGAAAAACAAATCTAAATGTCCATCAACAGGAATTTTTTAACGAAGGAAGGAAGGAAGGAAGGGAAAAGAAAGAAAAACAAATCTAAATGTCCATCAACAGGAATTTTTTTAACTTTGAATGCTCCAAGGAATGATTTTTAATCCAATTAATTCATAATGCATTACCAAATCAGTTTCAAGGTCAGTACTCCTTCCTTGGATAGATTTCAAACGGATAGATTCATATATGAATACATGTAAACACTCTAAATAAGGGACAGGCTACCCTGCGCGGTTGGTGTCATTAACTGGAAAAAGCTGTGTGGCTCTTTGTCTCCCACAGGGGCTCACAGGGTTGAAATGCTTGTTGAGTTTACCATGGTTCAGAAACTGGCCCTCTGATATGCAAATCTGAAACTTGATTTGTCACTTCAGTAAAGGTAAATCTATGTGTCTAGGAGGACTCACATTAGTGAAGAGACTGATATATGAAATTAGAATATCAATTTCTTTCTTTTTTTTTTTGAGACAGGGTCTCTCAGTAGGTCAACGCAGGCTCAGGTGTAGTCACGGCTCACTGCAGCCTCAACCTCCCAAGCTCAATCCTCCTACTTTAGCCTCCCAAGTAGCTGGGACCACAGGAGCGCACCACCATGCCCAGCTAATTTTTTAAATGATTTTTGTAGAGATGAGGTTTCCCTATGTGATCCAGGCTGGTCTCGAACTCCTATGCTCAAGTGATCCTCACATCTTGGCCTCCTGGGATTACGGGACTGAGCCACCACACCTGGCCTCAATTTTTTTTTTTTTTTTTTTTTTTGAGACAGGGTCTCACTCTCTCGCCCAGACTGGAATGCAGAGGTGCAATCTCAGTTCACCAAAACTTCTGCTTCCTAGGCTCAAGCAATTCTCCTGCCTCCGCCTCCTAAGTAGCTGGGATTACAGGCACACACCACCACTGTCTGGCTAATTTTTGTATTTTTAGTAGAGATGGGGTTTCACCATGTTGGCCAGGCTGGTCTCAAACTCCTGACCTCAGGTGATTCACCTGCCTCAGCCTCCCAAAGTCCTGGGATTACAGGCCTGAGCCACCGCACCCTGGCTGCCCCACTAATGTTTTGTTTTGTTTTGTTTTGTTTTGTATTTTTAGTCTAGACGAGGTTTCACCATGTTGGCCAGGCTAATTTTGAACTCCTGACCTCAAGTGATCAGTTCGCCTCAGCCTCCCAAAGTGCTAGGATTACAGGTATGAGCCACTGTGCCTGGCCACTTCTACAAAAGTTATAAACCCCATAATACATGCCCATTACTTTCACCCTAGATAGTTAAATATCTTTTAAAGATGTTAAAAGCAAGAAAAATATATTTTCTATTTACCCACACATTTGCCATTTCTGGTGCTCTTCATTCGTTTGTGTAAATTCAAGTGTCCATCCGGTATAATTTTCTGTCAGTCTGAACAACTTCCTTTAGCATTTCTCATAGTACAGTTTTAGTGATGAATTCTTTTGCCTTTAGCTTTCCTGAAATATGAATCCATTTTTAGGTTATGCCTTCGTTTTTGGAGAACATTTTCACTGCATATAAAAGTCTAGGCTGACAGTGTTTTTCTTTCAGCTCATTAAAGATGTCATTCCACCATCTCCGGTTTGCATTGTTTTTGATAAGAAACCAGTCGCCAGTCTCATCTTTAAAATTTTCTCTCAATCAGGCCAGGCATGGTGGCTCATGCCCGTAATCCCAACACTTTGGGAGGCTAGGGTGGGTGGATCACTTGAGGTCAGGAGTTCAAGACCAGCCTGGCCAGCATGGTGAAACCCTGACTCTACTAATAATACAAAAATTAGCCGGGGATGGTGGCGCATGCCTGTAATCCCAGCTCCTCAGGAGGCTGAGGCAGGAGAATTGCTTGAGCCTGGGAAGCAGAGGTAGCAGTGAGCCAAGATCGCGCCACTGCACTCCAGCCTGGGTGACAGAGCGAGACTGCATCTCAAAAAAAAAAAAAAAAAAAAAAATCTCTAATCACTGGTTTTCAGATATTTGATTCTGAAATGCATTGTGGTTTCCTTTGTGTTTATGCAGCTTGGCATTCACTGGGATTCTTAGATGTGTTAATTTATAGTCTTCAATATATTTGGCACATTCCAAATGTAGAATGAGAATTACAAAACTGAGAATTGTATTGCACTAATATATATTACAGAAAGTAAATAAAGAGTGCTTAACTACTATTCACAGGCACTTAACTATTTTTTGTTTTGTTTGTTTTGTTTTGTTTTGTCTTTTTGAGACAGAGTCTCGGTCTGTCGCCCAGGCTGGGGCACAGTGGTGCCATCTCAGCTCACTGCAAGCTCCGCCTCCGGGGTTCACGCCATTCTCCTGCCTCAGCCTCCTGAGTAGCAGGGACTACAGGTGCCTGCCACCACACCCGGCTAATTTTTTTTGTATTTTTTAGTAGAGACAGGGTTTCAACGTGTTAGCCAGGATGGTCTCGATCTCCTGACCTCGTGATCCACCCGCCTCGGCCTCCCAGAGTGCCATGATTACAGGCGTGAGCCACCGCACCCGGCCCTATTTTTGTTTTTAACCATGGCGTCAGAGACTAAGAATTGAAAGAAAGTTTGGGAAAATTTAGCAAGAAATAGGTTTCTGACATTTTAAAAGAAAAAGAAAAAAAAATAGAAAGTCTGGGAAATGGTTATGTCTGCTGTCCTGTCCAGATTCTAAGCATTATAACTGCACAATTTCCCCCTATCTGGTATCTGTAAAATATCTATAAAAAGAACAAAGGGCCAGGTATGGTGGCTCACGCCTGTAATCTCAGCACTTTGGGAGGCCAAGGCAGGTGGATCACTTGAGGTCAGGAGTTTGAGACCAGCCTGTCCAACACAGTGAAACCCTGTCTCTACTGAAAATACAAAAATTAGCCAGGCATAGTGGTGCACACCTGTAATCCTAGCTACTTGGGAGGTTGAGGCAGGAGAATTGCTTGAACCCAGGAGGCAGAGGTTACAGTGAGCCAAGATCGTGCCACTGCACTCCAGCCTGGGTGACAGAAAAATTGTGTGAATTGATATATTCTATATCATGGCCTTTTGAACATTTTCTCTTACTTTCATCTTTTCTGTAAGCTTGCTTCTTTAAAAAAAAATCTGCAAGTGTAGATTATAGTTGAATGCTATTTAGGTCATGAATAAGGCCCACTTCTAAAGTGAGACAGACTTGTAAATAATTTACCCAGGTGATATGTTCTGGATTGAACCATGTTCACATGGTGTCTGGCCAGGCAGATAAAATGCTCCCAGGAAAGTGCAATGGGGTTTACAATACTGATTATCCATACTCTAATGATTCCTGATTCTATGACTATTGAGCCACACCTCATTGGTTGGCAAACAAGAATCATTACACATTTATTATTCGTGAGGAAGGTCAATGCTTCATGTCAAAGATCAATGAATAAGAGAATGGTCCTGTGTAAGGGCAGGATAAAACAACTTTAGGGCCTCATTAGGCCATTTGCAGCTGTTCTTCCTAACCCCAAAGTAGTTGGAATCCTTATATCGCCAGGTAGCCAGAAAGGAACAAACATTTAGAGGGTGCCTATTATATTCTAGGCACTCTACAAAGGGCTTTACAACATCATTTAGTATTTACAACCCTAGGAGGAGGAAGCTATTATTATTCACTTCATTTTACACATAATCACACTCAAATTCAAGTACCTTGTCTAAAATCACACAGCTGGTAACTGGCAGCACTGAGATTTGCATCTAAATGTGCCTGGCCAAAAAACAACAACAACAACAACAACAACAAAAACCCTGCTTTTTCCACCACACAAGTACACTTAGCTCCACCTTCCTAAAAGGACTTACTGAGTCAACTACTCTTTGGCGTCATGCCAAGGGCTGGCATTCTCTAAGTCACTCGCATGGATGGGAGAACCCATAATCCCTGTCTGAGGATAAGTGTGTATTCTATCTCTGAGGGAAGAACATAAATGAAGAGATGTGGACCATTGTTTTTAAAGTGAAGGCAAGTTTAGTTTTTTAGTTTTTGTTTTTGTTTTGTTTTGTTTTTGAAACAGAGTCTCGCTCTGTCACCCAGGCTGGGGTACAGTGGCATAATCTCGGTTCACTGCAACCTCCACCTCCCGGGTTCAAGCCATTCTCCTGCCTCAGCCCCCTGAGTAGCTGGGATTACAGGCATCCACCACCACACCCAGCGAATTTTTGTATTTTTAGTAGAGATGGCAGTTCACCATGTTGACCAGGCTGGTCTTGAACTCCTGACCTCAAGTGATCTGCCCACCTCCACCTCCTAAAGTGTTGGGATTACAGGCATGAGTCACCACACCCAGCTGTGAAAGCAAGTTTATTAGGAAAGTGAAGGAATAAAGAATGGCTACTCCACAGGTAGAGCAGCCTGCAGACTATTTTCAAAGTATTGGGACAGCTCTCACCTCAGAAAGAAACGATGGTATTGTGATGCCTCAGCTTTACCAAGTAGATTCACCAACCGTGAGATCTACCTCAATGATCATAGAATCAGGAATCCTCTCAGAGTCATTCTGAGATGATTCATCATAGCATTGGGAATCATCTCAGAATCATTATCAGAGTCTCAGATCATCAGTATTATAATCCCTATTGCACTTTCCTTGAAGCATTTTAGCTTCCTGACCGGACACCATCTGTTCCTGTGAGCAGAAAAATCCTATGGTCTCTGCAATTCTCCTTCTGTGAAGAGGCCTGGATGGAGGCAGCTTCCTGTAGCCTCTCAGGGTAGCAGGGATCTCCTAGCATGTTGATTGTGTCACGGGATCCTTCTGGTGTTGCTTTTCCAGCTAGAAAGCTCTGTGACCAGTGGTGCCTTTGCCTGAGTTTTGATCAGGCTCGCTAGACTCGTTCCACCGACGTGGCCTGGCAAGCTGCGCTCAGCTCATGCTACCAGCCAGGATTCTACGCCTGTCAAGGGTGAGCCAGGCACAGAGCGGCGAGGGTTGTGTAGGCGAGCGAACGCAAGGTCTAGTCACTGCGCACAGCCAGACACACCAGCTGCTGCAGCTGGGCGGGCAGCTCCAGGCGCCGGCAAAGGTGCCAGTTCCATGCAAGTCTGCAGCTGGATCTGATGAACTACAAGCGGCTTCTGCTGTGGGCACCTGTGTCTGGACAAGGGGAATGCAGTGGTGCCCAGAAGTTTGAAGATACCAGAAACCGCAGAGCCCCAAAGAGGGTGTCACAGCCCTGGCTCAGGGAACCCCTCGGTCTGGGCTCCCTGAAGGGCCACAGCACTTCTCTCCTTCACATCACCCACAAGTCGGGGCAGGGGGGTGTTGGGGGAGGAGGGCGTGTTTCAGCCCTGTTTGTGTTACTGCTCTTTCAGTCCCGCCATTAAGTGGGTCCTGAGTTCTCGTCCCACATCCAGGAAGAATGAGGCACGCGGACAACTACAGGGTGAGCAAAGCGGAGAGGAGCCTTATTGAGTGACAGAACAGCTCTCGGGAAACTTGAAGTGGGTAGCTCCTTTCCGCAGGCAGGTTGTCCCAGTGAATGTCCAGCTCTCAGTGGAGAAGAGACCCAGAGTGGGTAGCTCCCTTCCTCAGGCAGGTCGTCTTGATGAGTCGAGGAGACCTGAATTGGGTAGCTCCTTCCCACAGCTGGTAGTCCCAGGGTCTGTGTGAGTGGCTAGGCGCAGAAGGGAGGAAGTGCATGCTGATTGGTCCATGGGTGGCCATGGGCTGACCCAGAAAAATCACCGTAAGTTCTCACTCTGGGCCACAGACTTCACCCGCGACTGACAGCCTAGTGCCCGGGCTTCACACCTCCCTGACTTGAAGGTGAGGCTTCAACCCACCCCTTTCCACCCAGGAGCCTGTCTGCCTCCTGCTACCATCAATCATGTCGTCCACAGCACCCAGGCTGTTTCTGCAGAGGAGTGCCGGCAGGCCTGCACCGAGCTGCCCTCAGAGTCCCCTGCCCCACGCGGCCAGCCTCCCTCCTGTGCTTGTCAGTGCCCAAAGTCTGGAGGGGGCCAAGGTGGCAGGGGGCTGGCATGTCAGTGGCGCCCCAGGCGCAGGCACACCCAGCTGGGTCTAGACAGCGCTTGGGCTCAGCCACAACTTTGCTGCGCCCCAGAGTGGGCTCCAGGAGCAAGGAGAGGCCAGGCAGCGGGAGCAGACACTTCCAAGCCTTGCGGGGCAGGGGGCTTCCTGGCCCCCGAGAGCACAGGGATGTCCAGGTCTGCAGCTGTGGCTGGGAGGCTGCAGCTGTGCGGCTGCAGCTGTGCCTGAAAGCACGGGGCTCCCACCCAGCCAACTCAGAAGGGGGTGGGGCTCCGGCCAGCCCCACGGAGCACGCAGCCCCCACTTTGCCTCCCCCACTACAGCTAGCATCTTTGCAGTAGCCGCTCCAGACAGGCCGCTGCTGCCATCAATTGTTACTTGTCTTAAACTGTAGGTGTTCCTAACCCGTATTGCAGAGCTCTACTTATCAGTCCTATTCTTGTGATTGGGGACAGGGATGCAAAGCAGAGGAGAAAGGCCTAGGAAGAGGAAAAGGTTGAGGAGACTGAAACTGTCAAGAGCACTCCCTGTTGTAATTAAAACAAGACGTGCACTAGTGAAACTTAATTTGTGAGACGTGGACTCAAGTGTTTTGATTGTTTACAGATTTTTGCCCAAGTTCCAGCCCTTGGAGAATATTTCATATAACATCTTTTTTTTAGAGAGGATTTTTTTTTTTCTTTTTTGAGACGGAGTCTCGCTCTGTCGTGCAGGCTGGAGTGCAATGGTGCGATCTCGGCTCACTGCAACCTCCACCTCCCAAGTTCAAGCGATTCTCCTGCCTCAGCCTCCCGAGTAGCTGGGACTACAGGCGCACGCTAAGACGCCAGCTAAATTTTTTTGTGTTTTTAGTAGAGGCGGGGTTTCACCATGTTGGCCATGATGGTCTCGAGCTCTTGACCTCGTGATCCACCCGCCTTGGCCTCTCAAAGTGCTAGGATTACAGGTGTGAGCCATCGCACCCGGCCACATCTGTTTTTTTATTTACCATTTCTGCCAGAAAATCTATGAGGGTCATAATTGCACAGTAGTACAGTAAAAGATTTCTTGACTTCAAAGTCAGTAAACTATCCAGGCGTGGTGTCTCACGCCTGTAGTCCCAACACTTTGGCAGGCAGAGACAAGGCAGATCACTTGAGGTCAGGAGTTTGGGACCAGCCTGGCCAACATGGCGAAACCCCGTCTCTACTAAACATACAAAAAATTAGCTGGGGATGGTGGCATGTGCCTGTAATCCCAGCTACTAAGGAGGCTGAGGCAGGAGAATGGCTTGAACCCGGGAGACAGAGGTTGCAGTGAGCTGAGATCGTGCCACCGCACTCCAGCCTGGCTGACAGAGCAAGACTCCATCTCAAAAAAAAAAAAAAAAAAAAAAAAAAAAAAAAAGTCGGTAAATCTCAGCTGTACTTCTGACTCTGTTTCTTTTTTAATGAGGTTTCTTTTCTCTTGCCGAGGCTGGAATGCAATGGCGCGATCTCAGCTCACCGCAACCTCCACCTCCCGAGTTCAAACAATTCTTCTACCTCAGCCTCCCAAGTAGCTGGGATTACAGGCATGTGCCAGCACGTCCAGCTAATTTTTTGTAATTTTAGTAGAGACAGGGTTTTTCCACGTTGGTCAGGCTGGTCTCAATCACTCAGGTGATCCATCCGCCTCGGCCTCCCAACATGCTGGGTTTACAGGCATGAGCCACCGCGCCTGGCCTTTTTAATGAGGTTTCTAGTCAACTATCTGTCACTTTCTAGCTGGGTGACCTGGGACAAGTACTTTACCTCCTCTGGGCTTCAGTTTTCTTAACTTTTAGATGAGGGATTTGGACTACAGAATTACTTTCTATGCTTCTAAGATGACAGAAATCTCAACAGCAGAGGATGTAGGGCTTTGAAGAAAACCTTTATACTTCCAGATCATATTTATCCAGACCAGTTTTATTTAAACGGCTGGTTTTATTCCCAATTTTCCCTGAAGCTCTAGAATGGAAATGTACAATTAATCTCTCCTTTTCAGAGTACAACAAATATTTTCTAATTTAATAGACTCCAGATGAGAAAGGAGGACATAATTTAAAAATAAGTAACAATACATGGTAATTAAGACTAAATGAGGCCGGGACCAGGCGCGGTGGCTCACACCTGTAATCCCAGCACTTTGGGATCCCGAGGCGGGAGGATCACTTGGGGTCAGCAGTTCATGACCATACTGGCCAACTTGGTGAAACCCTGTCCCTACTAAAAGTACAAAAATTAGCCAGGTGTGGTGGTGTGCGCCTGTAATCCTAGCCACTCAGGAAGCTGAGGCAGGAGAATCACTTGAACCCAGGAGGCAGAGGTTGCAGTGAGCCAAGATCGCGCCACTGCACCCTAGCCTGGGCGACAGAGCAAGACTCCAAAAAAAAAAAAAAAAAAACTAAATGAAATCACATTTGTAAAATGCCAAACAAGGAATACCACTCACAGTAGGCACAAAGAAATGGAAGAAATGCTGGTTGCATATTTTGTTTTCCCTCTGCTATAGTACCCCATATAATTAATCTTATGAGACCCTAAAATATACTACACTTCTCTCAGTCCTATGGTTCTGGGCCCCCTTTTGATCTTCTTGCACCCTTCCCCTACCTCCATCATCCTCCCAAAAGGAATGACTCACCCCAACATCCTCCACCTCCAGAATGAGTTTTCAGGTAATAACCTCTGTTGTTACCAGCAGACAGACTATGCCAAACATTCACTCGCACCACGGCCAGAACATGGGTCTGTTGCTTGTTCCTCAGGCCAGAGGCTGCTTGGGTGCAGTGTACTCTCGCATTTCCTTCTTTGAAGCATCCTCTATTTTCCTGGATTCACTGTTAACATTTAATTGTCAGTTGACAAACGGTACAAAGGTTGGTAAGCTGAATTTTAAACTTTAAAATCTACCGCATGTACCCAGAGGCCACAGAGAAAAGAGAGGGTGCCTTATGCTTTGTGCACTAACAGGCAATTATTTACTATGATCTTCTTACTGAGTAACCTCTATACCTAGATTCAAAGAGCTGATACTTTTTTTTGTTTTTTTGAGAGGGAGTCTCACTCTGTCACCTAGGTTGGAATGCAGTGGCAAGATCTCGGCTCACTGCAACCTCCACCTCCTGGGTTCAAGCAATTCTCCTGCCTCAGCCTCCCAAGTAGCTAGGATTACAGGTGCCTGCTACCATGCTCAGCTAAATTTTGGTGTTTTGTTTTGTTTTGTTTTTTTGAGACGGAGTCTCACTCTGTCACCCAGGCTGGAGAGCCATGGCACAATCTCGGCTCACTGCAAGCTCTTCCTCCCAAGTTGAAGTGATTATCCTGCCTCAGCCTCCCTGGTAGCTGGGATTACAGGCGTGCACCACCACACCCAGCTAAATTTTGTGTTTATAGTAGATACGGGTTTCGCCATGTTGGCCAGGTTGGTCTCGAACTCACCTCAAGTGATCCACCCACCTGGGCCTCCCAAAGTGCTGGGATTACAGGCATGAGCCAAAGCGCCCACCCAAGAGCTGATACTTTAGGAGGCCTAAGGATGGTTGACTGCACTTTTCAGATACCCTAAGTGTTTATAAGGAGTTAAAGGCTTGATCTCTGAGGTGAGTGATAGGCAGTAGTCTTCCTTGTAGACACAGTCTCAGGAGGGGAGAGAGGAAGGGCTGCCCGGAGGAGGTAGTTCACACAGAATGGGTCACGAATCGTGTATCTACCCCTCAGTTCTAATTGTACCTGTCCTTTTTCTCCAGAAGGCTGGACCCTTTCCGACCAGAACCAGTACCTTAAGGGCTTGTAATATTGAATTGTGAGTCCCCAGAGGGCAGGTACTATGCCATATTTATTTTGACACTCCCCAAGCACAATGCTTGGCAGGAAACAGACCTTAATAAGTTTTGACTAGGCCAGGCGTAGTGGTTCATGCCTGTAATCCCAGCATTTTGGGGGGCCAAGGTGGGTGGATCACTTGAGGCCAGGAATTTGAGGAACATCCTGGCCAACACAGAGAAATCCTGTCTCGGCCGGGTGCGGTGACTCACGCCCGTAATCACAGCACTTTGGGAGGCCAAAGCGGGTGGATCACCTGAGGTCAGGAGTTTGTGACCAGCCTGGCCAACATGGTGAAACCCTGTCTCTACTAAAAATACAAAAAATTAGCCAGGCATGGTGGCGGGCACCTATAATCCCAGCTACTCGGGCAGCTGAGGCAGCAGAATCGCTTGAACCTGGGAGGTGGAGGTTGCAGTGAGCCAAGATCACGCCACTGCACTCCAGCCTGGGCAACAAGAGTGAAACTCCGTCTCAAAAACAAACAAAAAAAGAAATCCTGTCTCTACCAAAAAACACAAAAATTATCCAGGTGTGGTAGCACGTGCCTATAGTCCCAGTTACTCAGGAGGCTGAGGCAGGAGACCTGCTTGAACCCAGGAAGCAGAGGTTGCAGTAAGCCAAGATCTGCATCACTGCACTCCAGCCTGGGCGACAGAGTGAGAGCCCTGTCTCAAAAAGAAAAAAAGTATTGGTTAAAGGTTGAATAAAAAGTAGGCTTTTATTGCCCTTTAAATGTTTGGCATCAGTTCTGGGAGCCAGGATAGATAGATAGATAGATAGATAGATAGATAGATAGATAGATAAATAAATAATGTGTGGCTGAGAGACTCCATGGTGGCCTTCATGATCCTGCCTCCTGGTGTTCATGCCTTTGTGTGATACCTTCCCCTCGAGTGGTGACAGGACCTGTGACTTGATTTTAACCAATATGGTATAAGTGATAGAATGTTACTCCCATGATTATGTTACATGATGTAAGATTCTCTCTTGGCCGGAAACAAAAGCAAAAAATAGACAAGTGGAACTACATCAAACTTAAAAACTTTTGTGCACCTGGGCATGGTGGCTCACACCTTTAGTAATCCCAGCATTTTGGGAGGCCGAGGTAGGTGGATCACCCAAGGTCAGGAGTTGCAGACCAACCTGCCAACATGGTGAAACCCTGTCTGTACTAAAAATACAAAAAGTTAGCCCGGGGGGCCCCTGTAATCCCAGCTACTCGGGAGGCTGAGGCAGGAGAATCGCTTGAACCTGGGAGTTGGAGGTTGCAGTGAGCCGAGATCGTGCCATTGCACTCCAGCCTGGGCAACAAGAGTGAAACTCTTGAAAATTCATGAAGGGAGGAAAATACTCAATGAAGGGAGTACAGCATAACCAGCCCAGAGAAAGAAACCAGAAAGTTCAGTGCCTTAGTTTCCTCATCTGTGAAATGTATCAAGGAGCCAGGCCTGAGCCCCTCCGGGACAGAGGCTATTATTTTCACTCTTACGGCTCCAGCATCTAGCAGAGTGTCTCTCACAGAGTCGCACTTGATAAAGCACTTTTTTGTTGTTGGTGTTGTTTGTTTTTGGCATAGGATCTCACTCTGTTGTCCAGGCTGGAGTGCAGTGGCGTGATCTCAACTCACTGCAACCTCCACCCCCTGGGTTCAAGTGATTCTCATGTCTCAGCCTTCTGAATACCTGGGACTACAGACACGCACCACCACACCCAGCTAATTTTTGTATTTTTAGTAGAGACAGGGTTTCGCCATGTTGGCCAGGCTGATCTTGAGCTCCTGACCTCCAGTGATCCACCCGCCTCAGCCTCCCAAAGTGCTGGGATTACAAGTGTGAGCCACCACGCCTGGCTGATAATGTGTATTTTGACCTGACCTTGGTGGCATATGGAGAAGATGATTTGGGACTTGTTTGTCCAGGAATAAAGTTCATGTTAGCAAGCAGTGAATCTCCCTCAGTGATTGGGGCTCAGCTTGGAACCATCCTGAGAGGCACATTATTTCTTGCAGAGTGCGCAATTGGGGTCCTCTGAAAATGAAACCGAAAGGGAATTCTTGCTTATGCCACCTGCTTCTGCTAGGGACACACAGCTCTAGTCGCCTCCAGCACAAGATTCGTGTGGGGTGGTGGTAATAGTGACACTGCCAGGTCACTTAGGGAAATCTCCCACCAGGAGATTGGCAACTGGGCCATTGATACAGTGGTACCCAGCCACATGAGTACCTGTAATTAAAATGACATTTTAATTAGGATTTAGATATATTATAAAGTGAAACAGAAAGACAAATAAACATGTTTTCCTTTAATTCTTTGGAAATTTTCTTAGCCCCTTATAAAGGGTTTAGTATGAAACTAAAAAATTCAATTTGGATAACTTAGTTTCTTTTTCTCTAATTTAGTTTCACTTCTCTTTACACAAATGTCACTTCCTCTCTATAGCATTCCAGGCCACTATGCTGCTTCATCACCAAGACTTCTCTAGCACTCCATCCTGGCAGAATTAATTGTTTGCTGCTTCCTGTAGATCATGTGGTATGTTATTCACTGAAGCAGTTATCACAATGTATTTGATTACATTTCTGTTTTTTCTCTCTAGGTGGCAAATTCTCAGAAGTCAGGAACTCTCCGTGTTTGATCTTTGTGGTCTCAGGACCCAGCATGATACCTGACATATAGTAGGTGCTCAATAAATGAATTAAATGGAATTGAATTAGCATATTGGCGTTACTGATTATTTTGTTGTTTTAGTCCCCTCCCCTCTTTACTGATTATTTTCTCTTTTTTTTTTTTTTTTTTTTGAGACTGAGTCTCACTTGCTCCGTCACCCAGGCTGGAGTGCAGTGGGGCGATCTCAGCTCACTGCAACCTCCGCCTCCTGGCTTCAAGAGATTCTTGTGCCTCAGCCTCCCAAGTAGGTGAGATTACAGGCATGCGCCACCACGCCTGGCTAATTTTTGGTGGAGACGAGTTTTCACCATGTTGGCCAGGCTGGTCTCGAACCCCTGACCTTAAGTGATCTGCCCAACTCAGCCTCCCAAAGTGCTGGGATTACAGGCATGAGCCACTGCACCTGGCCTGATTATTTTCAAAGAATTGAAGATAGAGTGCATCAGAAAAATTTCTATATTCGTTACCTTTACTTTGTGTTGCTCAGACTGTATATCTTTACTTTCTGTTGCTCAGACTATATGAGCCTGTTGGCCAAATAAAAGCCATTTATGGAACTGGTTTGCAGATGATTCTGAAAAGAGGCTGAGAGGACAGGGATTAGGGAGGAAAAAAACTCCTTGTGGGGTAGGGTCAGAATTCAAAGAGAAAATGGAGAATTAAAGACAAATTCGACTGAATTCTAATAAGATCAGGTGGAGAATCATAAACCTGAGGACAATCTAGGTATACAAACTCAAGACGTGAAGCAGTCATGGTGGCCCACACCTGTAATCCCAGCACTTTGGGAGGCCAAGGTGGGAGGAACACTTGAGCCCAGAAATTTGAGACTAGCTTGGTCAACATAGTGAGACCTCATCTCTTCAAAAAGTAAAACATTAGCTGGGTATGGTGGCAGATACTTTTTTTTTTTTTTTTTTTTTTTTGGAACAAAGCCTCGCTGTGTCACCAGGCTAGAGTACAGTGGCATAGTCTCAGCTCACTGTAACCTCCATCTACCAGGTTCAAGCTATTCTCCTGCCTCAGCCTCCCAGGACAACAGGCGCACACCACCACACCTGGCTAATTTTTGTATTTTTAGTAGAGATGGGGTTTCACCATGTTGGCCAGGCTGGTCTCAATCTCTTGACCTCGTGATCTGCCCGCCTTGGCCTCCTAAAGTGCTGGGATTACAGGTGTGAGCCACCGCGCCCAGCCAGGTGGCACATACTTATAGTCTCAGCTACATGGGAGGCTGAGTGGAGAGGATTGTTTGAGTCCAGGAGTTTGAGGCTGCAGTGAGCTATGATCGCACCTCTGCACTCCAGCCTTGGAGACAGAGTGACACCTGACTCAAAAAAAAAAAG